TGAGGCGCCAAGGATCACCCCTGTGGTCATCTCAGTGGGTAGGAGAGCTCCTGCTCCGTTTCCAGCCCAGTTCTCCTCTTCCTCCACTCACTGTCTCTGTTTCTTTGCCGACTTGTACAAAGCCCAAGAGGAAAGAAAGAAGCTAGCCTGGCAAGAGGGACTGGAGGCAGCTCTAGGAGTCTAAACCAATGCCCTTACAAGACACAAAAGTGAAGCGTGTTTTATCTAATGCTAATAACGTGGATTTTGGCCTTCAGAGAGACCGAGGTGCTTAGCCAGAGACCCACCATCTATTTTGCCCTGCCATTTGGTTGAGATAAATGGGAGAGAAGCCAAACGTTCAATGTTAAATCCTTACCCAGGCACCTCTTAGGGCTTTCCCTCAAATCTCTCCTGCTCTGGAGAAGGGTCTGCTCCCCCTCCTCCTGGCAGTCATTGAAATCCTCTTCCCATCAGATGACTCCCCAGCACCGGGGCCTGAAGCCCCTCTTCACACATCACCTCCCTCTTCAAAACCTTTCGCCAAGTCAACCCTTTCCGTCTCTCTCCTTCCCTTCCACTCTCCCCCTTTTTTTGGGTAAAACAGGGTGACCAAACAATTAGCGCTAATTATTCCTCCAGAATTTTTCTGCAAAGGACATAGTTTCACAGGAGGCCAGAAGGCCAATTAACATTTTATCAGCACTGGAACAGTCTCCCTTTGTCCCTATGCAAGAACCCTGCTGCTTATCTTGAGTCAGCTTGGACCCTGTGAGCAGACTTAAGTCACTAAAACATCCTAAACTAACTCATTGCAAAAAACGTCCACCAAACCCCAACCCTTAAGAGGGAATTGGTCAGGACTGCATGGGCTGGAGAAGGTGAAAAAGCCATGAGGACAAGGGAAGAAGGGGGCAGGGAAGGGGAATGGTCAGTCTCCTCTCAGTGCCAGCAAGTCACTGGGTACATTCAGCTGCTGGTGGAACCACAGTCAGTGGTCAGTCAGTGCCCTCTAAAGGATGGCCGAGCAGGGCCACACTCACAGCCTTCTCCGAAAACACCAGGTTTGGCCATGCTGTGTCCCAGCTGTACTCCAAAACACATTAGAAGCCATAGACACCACAAAGCGCACCTGAGCTGAACAGGTATTATGATATATAGAATCACAGAATCATCTAGGTTGGAAAAGACCTTTAAGATCATCGAGTCCAACCTAACAATGTCAGCACCCTACTTCCCACCTCTTACAAGTAAGAACATTATTATAAGGCAGTTATTAATTGGCAGTACAATCCCTTTGAACTGAGAGAAACGCTCTGCTGCGGCATCAGTGGTGGAGAGGGGAACGGGCTCAGCTTTGGCCAGAAAGCCCATGTCACGGGAGCCTGGCAAGATCTGCGAAGTCCTGAGCAGGCACAGCATTGTGGAGCCGATGGGCATAGACCAAGGTGAGGAGCGAGAGTTCAATCAAGCCAGCACAGACTCAATAGGAGCTCATTCAAGTACAACGCTCGTTTTGAGGGTCCCATAAGGGCTTATCGTCACCAGCCACCTCCTCCTGCTGCAGTGTCTCCAAGCCCTGCACAAGTCTTCCTCAGCAGACATCCTCCCCATGCCACCCTGCCACCACAGAGCCACCACCAGCGCAGCAGCTCCAGGCTGCAGGAGGCAGTGTGGCCACACACGGAGACTAGCCCGGCCCCACCACCCTGGCAGCCTCCCTGCCTCTCCCTGGCTCAGTCTCGTGCAGTTCTGTGAATCATATTCTACTTCAGTTTTGTTTCACCTTTTGTTTTCCGTCTTTGTACTTCGTTTTCAAAGTCCTCGCGCTTTTCTTTGGCTCACCATGTGAACTGAGATAATTACTTACGGGTTGCCAGGGCCTGCAGGGCTGCCCTAGAGGAGCTGCAGGCTGACATTTCAGAGCCAGCAGGGTTCTAGCACTGAGTTAGAAGATGCCAGGCTAGTGATTCAAAGGTGGCAGGACTACGATAAAACGGTTAAAGGGCCTGGACTGAGACCTGTGAGAAAAGTTTAGGGGAAAGCATCATCCATGGAATAAGAAACACAGAAATACATCCTGCGTATGGGCAATCTCAAGTCATAGTGAACACAGTGAATTTTTGTAGAGAAATTAGCCAAAGCATCCTTTGCAACTTGCTTCTTCCAGTTCTCAATGGCAGATGAATGAACTGCAGCTGGCTCAGTGAGGGTCCATGTTTTCTCTCAGGCAACACACCATTATGCTGCTACCATCAGCCTTTTGCAAAGGGAATATACACACAAAACCCCCACAACACAGAAGGACTGGCACCCCATCATGCACACAGTGTGCACGAGGCAGAGCAATAGCAACTTGCTCTGAAATAGGGAGTGGCAGAATGGCACGTGCTGGCACAAAACCCACTATCATCTGTACGTGCTGGTCTGCCCCACTCATGGATCCAGCACAAGATGACCAGCATGAACACTTTCCAACGTGTATCCTGCAAGAGACACATGGTTTTGTGGAAGGGGAGAGGAGGAAAGGAAGGAAGGAAGGGGAGAGGAGGAAAGGAAGGAAGGAAGGGGAGAGGAGGAAAGGAAGGAAGGAAGGGGAGAGGAGACTGCAAAAATGGGCTGACACAGTGTTCTCACTTGGGCAGAGAATGGACCAGGACACCTACAGTACGTCCTTCCGGTCTCTTAGGAAGGAAGGAAGGGGAGAGGAGGAAAGGAAGGAAGGAAGGGGAGAGGAGGAAAGGAAGGAAGGAAGGGGAGAGGAGGAAAGGAAGGAAGGAAGGGGAGAGGAGGAAAGGAAGGAAGGAAGGGGAGAGGAGGAAAGGAAGGAAGGAAGGGGAGAGGAGGAAAGGAAGGAAGGAAGGGGAGAGGAGGAAAGGAAGGAAGGAAGGGGAGAGGAGACTGCAAAAATGGGCTGACACAGTGTTCTCACTTGGGCAGAGAATGGACCAGGACACCTACAGTACGTCCTTCCGGTCTCTTCCTCTGCCCGCCCCGCCCCCCCCATTCCGCATCTCTAACAGTGTACTATCTGCCATAACCTAGGTGTTTGCATAGAAATACGGCAATAGCTGTTTCCCCAAGCACACAACGCTCACCAGTCACTGCGTGGCACTTCAAGCGCATGTAGGAACAGCAGCATGATACTCAAATGTTTTTGCTTCAAGTATTTGGGGAGATATGAGGGGAAAAATTCTGTAATATTCCTGACCCAACTCAGCTCAGTACCTTCCCATTCCCCCAGCTTTGCTTGGCATCAGGGAAACCAATCCCACCACACAACCTGTTGCTTTGTTTGCTTCAGCCACGTTATAAAGTAATTAACTGTTACCTTTCCCATGTCTGCCAAACTGACTTCTCCTTCACAGGTTCAGTAAAGGAAACAGACATACTGTTCCCTGTACGAGCAAAGAATACTCATCAAATAGCCCCAAAAATAAGCAAAACTGCTTTTGCCCATGTTCGAGAAGATTCAAAATGCAGAGCTCTGAAGTCTTGATGTTGGGGTGGGTTTTTTTTCCTTTTTTCTTTTTATTTTTTTAATAAACAAATTACTCAGAATTTGGGATTGGCTCTGCTCAACAGATTATCTAGTGCTGAAAAGCCTGTCTGGACTAAGTAGGCTATTAAAAGCAAACAGCATTATCAGCTAGGCACTCAGTTTAAAGCAACCGGCACTCCCCTTGGAAAGGTACACGTTCTTCCTTATCTCTTTACACAGACCATCAAGGCTTTAGCTTTCACAATGCAATTTTAGCACACGGCATTGCTCTGTAGCTAAACAGAAAAGGAAAACTCCAAGATGTGAAAAAGATCGATGCAGTTTCTGAACTCAGAAACACAGCGTGTGTATTCTGAACAACAAAACTTTTTAAAATCAACTATCAGCTGTGTTAATTAAAAAAAAAAAAGTCTTCAATATTCGCACTTTTCAGATACAATTTAAAAATGCTTCCTGTGGCTAACTACAAAGCTGGGTTTGCATCATTTCCAACAGCTTACTGCAATCCATCATGTATCAAAGTTGTAATTCCTAGGCAACAGAGAGGAAATTTATTGAAGTCTGAACACATTTCAATAAATTCCCGATTCCCATGACAGCCTAGAATAAAAAACAATTGCATTCACAAATCATAATACCATTGGCACAAAAGAAAAATGTTGTATCTGCTTAGAGCTTTAAGTTACAAAAGATCCTATTTAACTTTGGTAGAACTTGGGGTTTAGAAAACATGCATCTGCGTAGTCTAAATCGTTAATCAATCACTGTGAGGGGAAAATGCTGTGTAAACTTTGCTCCTTTTCCTATTTGATAGTTCTACCAAGATTTAGCTGAAAGGAGGCGACGTGTCTATCAGGTAAGTCACCTTATCTGGATTGTGAAATACTTCAAAGATTTATAAAGAATTATTGCCCCTCATTCAATTCCTGTTTGGCCTAGATTCTCTGAAGCTGACAAAGGAAACACTGAGTTACGTCTTCCAAGCTGAATCTCAAGCCTGGGGTTTCAAAAAAAAGCCGTTTCTGCGAAGAGGACCAACTTTGAGGCCCAGCCACACATACGTAAACCCAGCAATGACAGGGCATACACTGGGTCTGGGCAATAAGCCCGGCTGACGAGACAAGCGTGCTACAGCAACTTTTATCAGCCACTACGTAGAACTGGAGAGCGGCAGAACTAAAATGGATCTTGGAGAGACCCAGATGAGAATTATCAAGTAACACTCAACAGGGGCTCTCCTGCCAGGACCCCTTCCCAAATCTCACTTGGGGCTCTGGACTGCAGTTCTGGGTGGGCAATTACCAGAAGTCCTTTATGAGATTTAACCCCAAATGACTAACAGAATTTGCCAGCGCCAGAATCTAAAGCTTAATGCAATTCTTGTACCTCAACCACAAACCCATCCTTTCTTGTTGCCTTAAAAACACTGAGGCCACATCTTGAAAGGTAAGTTTAATGTGTTTGTTACAGGAAGAGAACAAGATAATTGTTTTGGGCACCATCAGCTAACTATACCTACCTCCTGCTGTGAAGGTTTTTTTCTCTCATAAAGGTTATCCAAATCTGGCAGTATGGAGGTGTGGGAGGAGTAGACAGCAAGACTTGTCCTAATCGTTACATCCTTGCCTCAAGTTGAAGCACAGTGAGTGCAATCTACGAGGACAAGACACAAGCAGCATGTTATTTTGCTGAAAGAAGAAATACAGTAAATGTTTCATTAAACAGTTTCAGTGCTTTTTAACAGTAATTTGAACTTTGCTGGATATCCATCTATTTTTACTGCCCCAATAGCATTTAGCGTTAGAAAACTCTGAAGTCAGACATTGTTAAGAGGCTAAGAGCAAGATCACCGAAAAGTCCCTCTCTGCTGAATAAAACTTGCAGATTTATTTTTTTTTTTTTTTTAAACTGTGCAAGAGAGAAGAAATGCCCTGCCATACTCTGGGCTCTTTCTTGCCATCATCCATGAGCACCGAGGACAGAAATGGAGTGACCTAACTCACCTGAAAGAGCAAGAACATGCCTAGGCAAGAAGCAGCATGTAAGAACTTGCCCAGCTGCCAATGACAGAGAAGAGCAAAAGAAACAGCAGCATGAAAAAGGAGTCTGAGGAAAGGAGGTATGCTGAAGAACAGAACCAGGTAAGGAAGGGGGAGAGCAGAACCAAGAACAGTACACAGAACATCCTAGGGAGGGCATTATAAACCAGTATTTAGAGATTTTATTTTTCCCCCTATAAAACCACATCAAACCTCACTATAAGATCCCATTGGCTCTGGCCGTTTGCATTGCTCGTCCAACCGAAGTAACCACTGCCATAGCAGGGCCAGCAGAAGGGGGGGGCTGGGGAGGGTGTTGAACGAAGATGTCATACTTTGCCATGAAACAGATGGGGAGATGCCAGTTCCGCCGTGGGTTTGGTGACCTCCAACAAGAGGCAGTAAAACTGCAGCAGCTGCTGAACGCAAGTGGAATCCTTCACATGTGACAGCAAAATACCAAAAGTACTCCCTCCTACGGCTCTATTTAAACCCAAGATGGCAAATGCTGGTGAAAGAAAAATAAAACAAGCAACGAAATGTAAGACAAGAAAATAAATCAAGATATGAAAATGCAGAGAAGTCTTCCTTTCTGTTGAAACCACACCAAAAAAATCCCCAAAAAAACACACAGAAGAAAAACTACATTAAAAATAAAAGAGCTGTTATCTCCAAGACTTCTGCAAATCTAAGATCTGGCTTCTTGTCTTATGTTGGTACTAATTTGATTTGATTCTATTCTTTTGTGAGAATCCGAAACACACTTTACTAGTTGGCAATAAAAAGCCCCATAGAATTCTAAAAGATAGGTGAAAGGCTTCATTTTTTTTTTTTTTTAAGACTGGAGAAGCTAGCTAAAAATAAACCAGCAGTGAGCCTGTCACAGGTTTTCCAAAATCCCCAGGATTGCTTCTTCTCTCTGAAACATTATTGATATGGCACAAGTCACAATACTCACTTGAGAAGCTTCTCATGGGACGTTATTGCCTTGTATCACCCCCCCCCAAAACTGCCTAGAATAATGGCAGATGCCTTACACGCGCGTTAAAACCACAAAAAAATGGACAGCTAACTCCCAGTACTATTGAAACTACACCCCAAACTTTTAATGTTTTGATACAAAACACAGCAACCCAAACCCACTCAACTCAAGGAACAACTAAGAGCAGAACCTAAATGCCCCGCTTCCGCTAAAACCGGCTTTGCCGGTCTATGGACAATCCTCCTCCTGCAGACGCAGCTCCCCATCTTCCGCCGGCCTCTTTATTGCTCCTC